AGCCATTGGGGGATTCTTGTTTGAAATCACGGATAAACAACAATGAACAAAGGTAAACAAAGGCCTGATAGTATGCCAATCACCCACCAAATCTTCATGTCTTCAGCAAAGTATGTTTTATTTAAACATTTGCTTATCTCAGCATACAAAGTCTATCATTATGAACAAAAAAGCAAAGAACCTATGTGCAAAAAATAAAATAACAACAACATTATTTTCTACTGTGGCTGCCCTCCTGCAGATCCTCACTTGACTGACTAGGGCCTGCCTTACTGTCATCAGAAATCGCCTGAGGCCAGGAGGACAACAGTTTAAATCTTATAATTTCAGTTAACCCTCCATACCTCTATCCACCTTATTCCTGACAAGCTTACTGTGTTTTGAATTATGGGCGGCACTTCCGGTTTGGAGAACTTCCATTCAAAAAGACTGAAATTAATCATTTCAAATCATAAGGTTGCCCTACAAATAAACCTGATCCGTCAGTTTGACTTAATGAGCAATCAGTTTTCTTTCATGTTTTATCTAAGAATAACATGAGAATAACGTAACACTTGGTGTTTTAACGTGACATGTTATAACAAGAATATCCATAGTAAGAGCTCTGCATTCTTTTCCTCATGATTATTTTCTTTTTTCCTTTTGAATTCCGCTGTAATAGTATGACAAAAGGTCAACACATACTGCACATTTGTGGTCTGTTCTCCCGATTTAATTTACGATGTATACCATTAATAATTCACTGGAATCCTCTCCAAATCCTCACGTCTTTCCAGGTTTGGTTTCACAGGTAAATACAATTTATTATCTGTCAAAATGACTGAAATCACTTTAAAATAGTATCACGTAATGCTGAAGTAAAACACTTTTTTATTAAGGAAACGTATGTTACATAATACAGATTACCACAGTGATATTTAACCGACCGATTTAGCTGTGGAAAGATGCTTTTGAGATTATTCATGGTCTGTTGAAAGTTACCTTGTTGATGCTTTTACACTTTTAAATGTCCTTTTAATGTTCAATGGTTGAAGGGTGAGTAGAATAATGTAATGTCATCGTAAAAGGTTTAAAAATCTATTATTGCGTCCATAGAGCTTAGTCTTTCACTGATTGTTTACATCTTAACGGAAGTTACACCCATAATTCGCGCAAAGCGTCATGGGGCGCAGGAATACTGTGGATAGAATTTCACATCAATGTGAAATACAACATATTCCTGAGAATTAATGGCTAAAACTACTATTTCAAAAATGTCTAAGAATAACTAAAATTTTTTAATTTAAGTGTTAATTACAATTTTGTTGCAATTTATAGATTAGAAATATCTTTCAAATGATGTATGACATATTAAGAAATGTTTTTCATAGCCCATAATTTAAGAATCTATATCCTCTGTTGCTCCGTACAATAAAAAAAAAACATGATTTCCTGCTATATAGGATGTCAAAAGTTTATGTAGGCCTTATTTGTTGTTTGCATAAACCTTGCACCACACAAATTTACTTATAGTGGTTTACACGACAGTGAACATACCTCATCAATTTATACAGTACAATGGGCTAAATGATAAGATAAAACATTATTTCCTGACGACGATAAATTGTTTAATTTATCCAACCATTCTTTTTGTGTTCATTCATTATTTGTCTCTGTCCACTCACCTAAATGCATAGTTGGTCTCCACATTTTGCTGTTTACTAAGTGCAAAAGCCTTATTGTCAGACTAGCTATTCCCCTTAACAAATCTAATCTGCCACATCTGGGAAAGTCAACAGGCATAGGATACTTACATTGTTTGTTTTTTGAAAAAAAAAAAAAAAAACAGGGTGATTGTTTTAGATTTTTGTCTCTTCATTGCCTTTATGTGGCATTTATACAGTCGATTTTGTTCAGTTCAGAAAATCACCGACTCAGCTCAGTCATAGATGGTATATGATCACTATGGTTACCGGTCCGCTCCTACAGGCACGATTAAGGCAGCTACTAGCTCCTCATAGGACCCTGGCGACGTCACTCAGGAGTCGTCGTAGCACACACACACAGAGAGAGAGTGTAAACGTCGGTGGCATGAAGGCATCGTGTGTTTATTGACAACAGAACAGCGTGTAGTGAGAACGTGGGTATAAAGTAATGGTAAACGGTGTAGATCAGCCTGCGTCTGCCCCGACCCGATTCTGAAGCAGCGGCGGGCCGGGACACTCTACTTTGGCTAATGTACATATAGCGAAAACATTGGTTAATCCTCTGTTTTACCGATTTTTGTTTCCTTTTGTAGGGATAGTGAGGGGGGGACGGATCGGGTCGCTATAAATCTGGGGGGGTCATGTCTGGGGGGATATTTATCAGGTCAAAATACAATTGTTATAGCTTTAAATATATTTATAGATAGTCAGAAAAAAGGTTTAAATGCTAAAACGGATATGTCTTCGATCATCTACCGTTGGCGGATTATGACGTCACCGCTCGCTCGCGCCGTCTCTTCCGTCATTCCGTTTCAGCGTCGAGTCTTCTGAGGTGAGGAGAGCAGTTCACGGTATTTCTCACATTTATCAAAGAGTATAGAAGAACAAGAGGCGAAACTCTGATGCTTTTTTGCTAACAGCCACTAGGTGGCGCTTCGGTAGCGCGGCCGCCATTTTGGGGTGAAAATTCCAACTGGAGTTACTGAACAACAGTACAGACAACAGTTTTTTCAGGTAGTTTTTTCTTGTATTAGTGAGTATTTCCATTTTATACAACTTTACACCTTTACTACTATTATTAGTGGCCAACTCCACTAGGCCTGAAATATATTTTGTACGTTTTAATCCCCTGGATCATGCTACAAACATGATGATATTATAGAACATGATGCATTGCTGTGTCCTTTATCCTATAACTTTAATTGCCACTTTGGACAGTGGCTGTGTTTTTTTGTTTACATATCTTGCTTTAACAGTCATTGAAATAAGATAGTAGGCCTGCTGCAAAAAAAAAACAGTTTACTGTAAAGCTATTCTATTGCTGTTATTTATTGTCCAACATTTACAATTTAGTACAATTACATTTATTTGCTGAATTCCTTTATTTCATTGATAACTTATTTTTGTATGTAACGTTATGTGTACCTCCTGGAAACGGTCTAACGTTATTATAACTTTCTTATAACTAATATCCTTGAACTTCCCTGTCTCAAGTTATGTGGGGGAAAAAGCCTGGTTAAATAGCAACTTCTTTTTAACTGCTATAACGTTAGCTGTTGTGAGTTAAAATAATCACCTAATTATTTCAACCTAAAAATGACCTCTGCACTGGACTAAATATATGTATAATATATGACTGCCGAGCCGCTTTCACCCCAAAATGGCGGACGCGTAGGGCTGCTGCTGGCACTGGTGTTGCAATGGAGCGTTCTAGTGGCTTTCACTTCTTGTCAATATACGTTATTTGCATTTATACAACCATCACACACACTTTATACAGTTTGATTAAGCGACAGACTCATTTCTGTATTGTTTTCATCGATCACAGCGATACTTGTGCGTCGTCCTCCTGAAATACACATTTAGTTCAGCAGCAGCGAGCATGAGGAGAATATGTGGAGTTCATTCAGACCTGGGATTGTCTCGATGTTTAGAGTGAGAACTGTTACTGAACGTCAAGTCAAAGTTTGAGATCTGTGAGGGGAATTGATGGGAAGCGATGAGATATCTCAAAATAAAGACGTTATGCTTAATGAACCACATGAGACATTAAATCAACTCTTAAATGTTAATATAAATAGCGTTTTACTCTTGGAACAATATTGCTTTGTGATGCTATTTTTATTTTATTTTTTATGATCAATTTTAGTTTCAGCATACAATTTTTATATTTAAGTACTATAGTGATTCATGTCATAAAATCAAACTATATTTAGATTCATGTGGACATTATGCTGCTGTAATTATTTATCTGTAGTGTGGCTGATTAAGATGAGTGTCATTAGTGATTGTTTTTGTGTTATTGACGTTTTATCCATGCCATATTGTGAGAAATTACAGTATTTTCTTTCAGTAGTTTTATTGGTTTTTCTCATCTATCATGACTCAGATAATGTGTTTCTATCAGCAAACACTCAGAATAAAGTGAGATGATCTGCTGATGATCCTGAATGGCTTGTTGAATGAGTGTTAATAGTCTAAAGCTCATCAATATTAACAGATCTGCTGAAAACACTCTTTATTTCATGACAATAGTTCCTGTTTTCTCCTCATTTATTATGCTGATGTCTTCAGATCTCCTGTAAATTGACACTTAAAGCTCATTTCATTGGTGTCAGCAGACTGAGGGGATTTGTTGGTTACTAGTTTATTTCTTTTTATCATTTTAACTGTTTTTCTTACCATTGTTTATATTTGGAAGAATTTAAATTATTTATTTTCTTTTCTATATTTCTACCTGTATTTTAAAAAGGAAGCAGAATAATGTCAGGATTAGCAATAAAAATAATGAATGAATTGGCATCAGTTACTGTACGATGAATAGATAGACATACATAAATGGTTAGAAGTGTCATTTATTATAAAAACAAACTCAGTAATTTATATATTTTTGGTTTAGGCAGATCGGCTCCTCCCAATGGAATACATCATCAGTGAAGCTCCTCCCACAGCAATCACATCATCAGTGAAGCTCCTCCCACTGCAATCACATCATCAGTGAAGCTCCTCCCACTGCAATCACATCATCAGTGAAGCTCCTCCCACAGCAATCACATCATCAGTGAAGCTCCTCCCACTGCAATCACATCATCAGTGAAGCTCCTCCCACAGCAATCACATCATTAGTGAAGCTCCTCCCACAGCAATCACATCATCAGTGAAGCTCCTCCCACTGCACTCACATCATCAGTGAAGCTCCTCCCACAGCAATCACATCATCAGTGAAGCTCCTCCCACTGCACTCACATCATCAGTGAAGCTCCTCCCACTGCAATCACATCATCAGTGAAGCTCCTCCCACTGCAACCCCATCATCAGTGAAGCTCCTCCCACAGTAATTCAGTAATAAATGCTGCAAATTCCCATCAGCTACAAGTGAAGATGAGCATGAAAGCATCAGGAAGAGCTGAAATCTGCCAAGACTGAGTTTATTAAAGAGGACAGTGAGAACATGAGTGATCCAGAACCCTGCAGAATGAAACACACTGAAGATCCTGAAGAACAAAGAGGTTGGTGTTTATTCTTCATTCATTCATGATGCTGGAGAACATTCATGTTAGAAACATTCAAGCACTTCATCACATTTAGATAAACAGTTCAACTATGAAATGGTACAGAATGTTCTGGGTTTGTTTCAACAAATGGTCAGTAAAGGAAGATTTGAGACATTTTTATATTGATTGTCAAGATCAGATCAAACTAAATACTATTTTAAAGGGGTCATATAATGGTACATGCACTTTTACAAGTTGATTGTACTGAAATGTGTGTTGGCAGTGCCTGTACACAACCATCATATAATGATAAAAATCCATCCAGTGGTTTTGTTTTAATCTCCTTATATGTTTTCCCCTGCCTCAAATCGAGCCGTTCGTTTTTGTGACGTCAATAAAACGGACACCCCTCCCACGATTGTTGATTGACAGGACGGTTTCAACACAGACCCGCCCTCGCTCGTGAAGGAGCTGTCAATCATAGTCTGCGCGGACCGGCGGGGTCATTGTTGATATGCTGGAGCACTGTCTATGAGCAGAATGGCGTCTAAGCGATTGTGGTGTTCTGTTCTTGGGTGTAATAACGAACACAGCAGTCATTTTAATGTTCCTGAATCCGAACCGCTGAAGACGCAGTGGCTGAGTTTGTTTTCGAAGGGAATATTCCCCACGAGCAACGTCAATGCTCTCATGTTTGAGTGAATCATTTCTCACCAGACTGCTTTATAAACGAGGGTCAGTATAAAGCTGGATTTGCTAAGAAGCTGCTCATGAAATAAAGGATCGGTACCAGATATTCGTGTTCCTGCTGAACCTCCAGAAGAACTGAAGTGAGTGTAACGTTTTATTAAACTTTATATTAATATTTATATCTTTGCAAATCGCTAGCTGCACACTTCACAATGAATGCGTCTAAGGTTTACACTCAGTACATTACGGCATGTTTTCTATGTATGACGTTCTCAATATAATTAATAATCCCATGTTTATACTGAACAACGCGTTATGGTTATTGTGTTACAAACGGTGTACGCACAGCACAGAGAGGCGGAGTCAGCAAAGCTCATTATCATTTAAAGGCATATGCACTGAAACGGCGTGCTGAAAACAGAGCTGTTTTTGACCAAGTAAAATAAGTGTTTTCTTACAATACTAATGAGAATTTTTAATTAAAGTATATTACAAAGTTTTAATTTAGACCCTAAAGAATCATATTAGCTTGTACAAAAATGGCATTATATGACCCCTTTAACTGTTTTATTTTACGTTTATTTTATATCTGGTTCACAATTTGCTACAACGTTACCAGAACTCTAGTCATTTTCAACATTTCTAGGAATAATCAGTAAACACCAACCCCACTAACACAGAACGTTTAGGGAACGTTCCCGCAACCAAAAACTAACGCTCCCAGAACGTTCTGGGAACCATAAATTGTTAGCTGGAAAGTTACTGATAAAGTCGTATTTGTCAAATATCATATAAGTTATTCATAGTTATAGAGATTCTTCTTACAGTAACTTTGGTAACAGGGTTGATGAATACAGTCAATGCTACAGTTTGTGTAAAAACTGAGAGAATGGATTGAGATTATTTTCTTGTCCTCCCATCATGCAGTATAAAGAGCCCAGATGATGTCACTTCCTGTGTGTCAGAATTTTAAGAAATGCTTTGTTTTTAAAAGAAAGAAAATCATTTCAGGAGTAACACAGGGTTGAGTGAAACATGTAGGACACAGATATTACTAATACTTTTTTTTTTTTTTTAAAGCTAGATAAAGCCACTCTACACTTTGAGCGTGTGAAGTTTCTACAGACACTACAACGGTCGTGAAATGAAGTCACATTCGGTGGCAGCTTTTTTTACAAACATAAATTCAACATATAACATTCAATAATAATTCAAATTTTAAAGACAAACAATCCATTCCACTTGAATGCTAAACGCTTGTGTTATTTCTCACAGGGTTATTCACTTGAGCTTGTGTTTCTGGTGTCCCACTTTCACATGCGTCAGTGCAAGGAAAAGTCTATTAATATTAAATAATAATATTAATCTCAAATTTGGTGTAAAAATATGGCAGTATTGTAAATTTTAAAGGGGTGGTTGATTGCGATTTCACTTTTTTCATTTTAAATAGTGTGTAATGTTGCTGTTGGTGCATGAACAGTATCTGCAAAGTTGCAGCGCTGAAAGTTCAATGTAAGCAGAGATATCGTCTTCTAAAAATCAGGAAGTGTAAATGCCTACAAAAACGACTCGAATGGGACTACAGCTGGGTTTTAGACGTCACTAACCCATACATTTGCATCAACCCTCCCTCCGGAATACGCAAAAAAGGGCATGGCCATATTTCTGCGGCTTTGCCGAAGAGGAAGAGTTACAGGGGAGAGCTAGCCATGCCGTCGAAAGTGTGTTATTTTCATCCAGCTAATGGGTCTTCTGTGTTCGGGGTTCCTACGGACGCTGTAGTTCGTCAACAATGGTTACAATTTATGTTTGATAATGTTTCTGACAATTACAATCGTAATTTAGCTCTTTGTGCGGCACATTTCACTGAAGACAGCTTCCAGAATCTCCAACAATTCAATGCCGGATTCCACAAGAAACTGTTGCTAAAAACTGTATTACTCATGTAATCATTTGTATTAAATGTTTAATCAAGATAAAAACGTATCTCAAAAAGCTAACAAGCAGCAGTAGCATTTTCAAGTATAACAGGGTATCAAACTTCTTATGTAATAATAGAAGAATAGAATAATAATAATTCAAAAACGTACCATTCAGAAACGTTTTGTAACAGCCGTGTTTGGGGAGGTTCTGTTTGACTCTCTTCATCGCCGCTTTCTGGGTCTGATTCGGGCTCAAACTGATACGGCAGTATCGACACCATTATTTACATTAACCGGAGCACATGAAACTCACGCCCGTAAAGGTAATGGGCGTGACGGTTCCGGACAACGTGCGCTACGCAGTTTAGCCAATCACAACACACCGGCCCAAACTAACCAATCTGAGCCCATTGCCTGTTTCTGAGGGAGTGGTTTCATAGAATCAGGAAGTCAACCGGTCGTTCAAATGACAGAGGAGAAAGAGGCTTACAATAAAGGTGACATTTATAAAAAATAAGACTTTTTAAAAAAGAAAAACCACGAATACAAGTTACATTGCACCCCATAAACACACGCATGCAAAGAAAAAAAGCAGTAAACCACCCCTTTAATGTAATATGTTAGATAATTGTGTCATTGATCAAATATATTCAATAGTTCTTGCTAAAGAAACATGGGATTCGTGCCTATAATGTTTTTTAAAATAATTGGAAGATAAATTTACCTCATTCATGGAAAGTTTCAAGGACATATAATCAATTTATAAAAAGGCATCAAATTATCATAATATTTTATAGCAGTTGTCTACTTTCTACCATTACATCAGGGCTCACTTTCATGTCCTTTCACTTTATATTTCTCTCTTTGAATTATTTTGATGTACTGAAAATAAATGTAATATTTTTTTTCTTTCATGCCAGACCTGATGGAAGAGAGCGAGGAGAGAGAAGAACTGAGTGAAGTGAAGGAAGAACTGAGTCAAGTGAAGGAAGAACTGAGTCAAGTGAAGGAAGAACTGAGTGAAGTGAAGGAAGAACTGAGTCAAGTGAAGGAAGAGAGAGAAGAACTGAGTGAAGTGAAGGAGGAGAGAGAAGAACTGAGTGAAGTGAAGGAGGAGAGAGAAGAACTGAGTCAAGTGAAGGAAGAGAGAGAAGAACTGAGTCAAGTGAAGGAAGAACTGAGTGAAGTGAAGGAAGAACTGAGTGAAGTGAAGGAAGAGAGAGAAGAACTGAGTGAAGTGAAGGAGGAGAGAGAAGAACTGAATGAAGTGAAGGAAGAGAGAGAAGAACTGAGTCAAGTGAAGGAAGAACTGAGTGAAGTGAAGGAGGAGAGAGAAGAACTGAGTGAAGTGAAGGAAGAGAGAGAAGAACTGAGTCAAGTGAAGGAAGAACTGAGTGAAGTGAAGGAAGAGAGAGAAGAACTGAGTGAAGTGAAGGAGGAGAGAGAAGAACTGAGTGAAGTGGAGGAGGAGAGAGAAGAACTGAGTGAAGTGAAGGAAGAGAGAGAAGAACTGAGTCAAGTGAAGGAAGAGAGAGAAGAACTGAGTCAAGTGAAGGAAGAACTGAGTGAAGTGAAGGAAGAGAGAGAAGAACTGAGTGAAGTGGAAAACGATTTCAAACTTGATGTTCACATGATGATCCACACCCGAGTGAAGCCGTTCTCATGTGATCAGTGTGGGAAAACATTTCTTAGTGCATCACACCTGAAGAAACACCTGTGTGCAAAAGGCCATGGTCATGTTGAATTTAACTCGTAGTTGTAGTTGTATAGTGCTCTGTTCAAGTGTTGTGTCTGCTGTGTAGGCAGAGTTTATTTGGAAGTCTCGCGAGTTCAGTGAAGTGAGGCGAGATCATATTTGGAAGTCTCGCGAGTTCGGTAGTGAGGTGAGATCAGATATGAGGCAATAGAAAAGAAAGAAGAAATGTAGTACATGTTATATCATGAGTCAATAAGGTGAGGTGGATGAAGATTATAAAGCGATCGATCGACAATATAGCACGTAGGTGGTGACCAGTTTGCATTTCAGATGTGATGGGCGGTCGAAATTGTGTGATCATTTACAGAGGTCGTTGGTATTATCTGGCGAATATCATCGTGTGCGTCATTGCAGATTGTAAGTGTTTATCTGACATTACTTAATCTAATAATCATTGTTTGATATTCTGTTGAATGCATCGCTAAGATATTTCCTCAGTTATAAGAGAATTGCTGACGTGTTATGCTATTATTATATATTTGCGATGTCTCTCGTTCAGTCACGTGAAGTGATATAACACAGTTTTGTTGTACAAATTGTCACAGAAAACTAATTGAGCATGTTTGTTTATTGTAGAACCACACATTTACACAACGACATACAAGTTATCCACGATTATCCAGCTGAACCCTATCACACAAACCCAT